GCTTCCAGATCTCCTGAAAATGTTTACAGGCACAACTAATGACATTAGTTATTAGTTAAAGATGATTTCTGTGCTGATAGATGTTAGTGCTGACATTTTCCATTTATTATTTAAGATTGTTTTCAACTTGTAGAAACAGTGAATGCATTTTGAAACTCTGATGGGAATTGGACATTCACAAATTTCTTGTCACCTCACAAAGTCAGTTAAAGTGTTACAAGCAATTATTTTAATCATGTTGAAGATTAATCATACTTTAAAACATGGGTTCTGGAAATAAATTCGAAATGTTAATACTGATGAATTACTGTTGTAAATGGATCATTATGTAGAGGAAACATTTAGTTTAATTGGAGTTGCTCCCCCAATTGCTTTATATACACTATATGGGGCATGAAGCTGAAATCAAGTTCTGTTCTTTTGAAGAAAAATACTACAGTCCCATCCTGGGTTTAGTGTCTACTGTAAATGGAACAAGGGAAATCAGACTAGGTGCCTTGCTTGGATGTCCATTTTTAATCCAGCAGACAATTTCAACCAAAGTGGACATAGCATTCACAGAGAGTAAGCTGTGGCAAAGCTGGTCAAAATAAAGACTTCACTAGGGCTCTCCCATCATGAAAAGAGACACCTCATGGGAATACCACAGAATCTACAGGAGACTGAGAATTGGTCTGTAAGGGACAAGGCCTCTTAATGCAGAAGGCAGGACATTCAGGAACACCTTTACGTAGCTGCTCCTTAAAAGAGAAAGACATCATCCAAGGCTGCTAAAATGCAGGTCATATTAACCTTTATTTCCCTTGCACTGCTTTGCCTCTGGCTCTAGACAATGGTAAAGTAGCTGCAAATGGGGAAAAAATGCTGGAATGAGCTCTTGCTCCAATAAAACTCTTCAGGGAAGGCCTGTGTTATGTTAGCAAAGAAGATGGGTATGAAAAAAAAAAAGCTGTGTAAAGCTGACATACAACCAGAACATTCTTAGACTAGAAAGATCTATTATTAACAGCTAGTTCTTGCTGGAAGCACAAAATAAAGTGAATCTAACACTCTAAGAGCCAAGCTTGAGATGTGTTTCACATTGGTTTGAAGCCCTTCTTGTGAGACCTTGAGCACCCTCAGCACTGGTGTTGTTTGGGCCAGGAGGTTCCCAGACTACTTTGATGAGCCCAAAGCACTGTGGAGGACAGGGTTTGCCTCTCTCCCCTGGGACTCCTCTGTGGGAGTTCCCAGCAATCCAGATGCAAAGATACTCCAGAGCAGCCTTGTCCAAAGGGTACACTTGTGCTGCACAGCAGCATTAGTCATAGATGAAGGCAGCAGCTTGTTGGGAAATAATATAGACTCTAGAAGTCAGCTTTAGAGAAGATTGGAGTCTTAAAAAAATTTCCTCCTTTTTCAACAGAGAAAGCTCTAAGGGGCACAGTTTTCAAATGCCAGGATCTCCTGGAAGTGTTGTCCATTTGTCCCAATCTCCTTACTACCTCCAGGGGTGCTGCTGTGCTTCCTGGTGCTGCATGCAGCATAATTCCTGTGCCTCTAAAAGATAGAACTGTCTTCTTAAAGTATGCCAACCCTTCACCATTCCCTGCCACCTAGATGGCAAATGTGATAGGGTAGCTACTTGTCCTGATTGTTTCTTTGATGGGGAAGCTTTTCTGCTGGAAAACAGGCTAAAAGCATGGACTGTTTCTAGCCAGCCAACCACATTACCCCGTCAGTAAGAGCAGGGCTGGATTACATTCAAGACCATGCATGGAGTCCAGGGTTCTCTGTCCCAAACCTGATAACATGGACTAAGAACTTGAACTATTTCAGGCTACCACATGACCCTGACATGTTAACAACTTGGGCTGTTACTGAGCTGGGTTAGATTCAAACCCACTAGCGAAGGTAAAAGGTTTTGTGTTCCATTGCTGGCGCCAAACGTTCTGTTTTCTTACTTGGCTTCTTTCATGATGGTGTTTTTCAAAGCATTTAGAAAGTACCCGTTAGCACTTCACTCTGTATAAGTAATGTAATAACGGGAGAGTGATGTGGGAGGAGGGACATGGTGGGCAGGAATCATTATCCAAATTAGGTGTTAAGCTTTGGCTTCTGCCCCTACCTTTGGTGAGGGTTACAAGGATTAGTGTAGAGAGGGAAAGGAACTTCTGTTTCTAGAGCGTGACTATGAAAATAGACACACTGGTAACTATGAACAAAATGGAAAAAGTAAATACAGTCCATGAAGTAACACCATCGGGAAAACAAATGTTCTCAAAGAAAAAATTTCAGAAAGTTCATAATTCTCTGCAGCATGAGACATTGAGAGCCAAGGTCTGTTTTTTTGGAAAAGTTCCTTTGCATCTGGATCCCCATCAGACTTGGAAGAAGAAGTCTACAAGGGCTGTGGTTTGGAGTGCGCCGGCACTCATTGCACATTGTTCCATTTTCTTTGTAATAACAGCAGAAGTTTCATGTCTGACATAGATAAGCCCCTGTCTTCCTCTGTCTCACCTGAGATGTATTTTGCCATAGTCCAGACACTGGGGAATGGATATAAAACAAAAGCAGGAGCTGGATATTGACTCCCACGAGACCCAAATCACATATGCTATTTTTTGCTGTAGCACCAGGCATTGCTCACCTCAAGGCCTGCTTTAGCACTTCATGTGTGAGAAAGAGCCTGACACAGAAAGCAGCAGATACTGGAAAAAAAGATCAATGTAGACTAGCTCAATTCAATCCCTGAGAAGAAAATATTGTGGTGTATTATGATGACCTCACATTCCAAACAATGACACATCAGCTGTTAGCTATGTCAGACCATTGCACTGTGTAGCATCCACCTAAGACTGGCAATGGCAGTGTGTAGGACTTATATGTAAAACATTAAAGAGTATCTCCTGTTCTATGATCCATCTGAACTCACATGCTGGTAATGTTGCCTTACAGCTTGGAATGCCTGCAGAATTCCACAGTCAAAATGTCATTGACAAACTGTATCTATCTTACATGGATAAAGAATTTAACTAAATTATTCTTGTCACTTTTCCTCCTCTGAGGAGAAGTCTGCATGAACTGAAGTCATGAGGCTCTTTTTGGCACTGTCAGGAATTCTGAATAATAATCCCTGAATATAGTGAAAAGGTATTATAAAAAAAATAACTTTTTTTTCAGTTATAAATTCCTCAGAACACCATTGCCAACAGACTGCGGAACAATTTTTTTGTTTAAGAAGTGATACATTATTTAAAAGTCATACTCTTTGGCATGACAGGGGAAAAAAACCTGCAGTTTATTGTCTTTCAGATTCTAAGTATTTTTTCAGTCTGGTGGTAAACCACTTTTATGCATTTGTTGATATGTCCAGTGCATTTGTCAATGTGCAAAATCCTTGTTATTTGGGTCAGACAAGTGTCCTCAAAAACAAGGCAACCCAGCAGGCCTTCCAAGCCAGGCTGTGCCAGACTCTGTTTGCCCTGGTTTGGTGGAGTGACTGCTAACCTCCAGCAAGCCCTGATCTGCACCAGAGCTGTGGCCTCTGCAGGGAGCTGGGCTGCCTGGCTCAGCCTCCTCATTCTCTTCCTGACTGCTCAAGGTCAGACCCAGGAACCCAGTGCCCTCTTGGTGGGGCATGCCAAGAGGCAGCACTCTTCATGAGCTTCCTATCACTGCCTCTTGGCCCTGGCCCCAGAACTGGCTGATACTCATTTGGCAATACCCCCTTATTTCATGCCTCCCTGCTAGAAGTCACGGCAGACAGACAGAAAAACAAATGGGCCATAAGAGCAAAACCTCTCTCTTCCCAAAATGTTATGTTTGTGCATAAGAGCCTCTGGAGCATTTGTATGAGCCTACTGCATTTTGATGAATTGATAGAATGAACTGTTCTTATTAATTGTACATTAAGGATTTATCTCTCCCTCTCCCCTCCAGATACAGTCTATCATAAAGAAAAGGCAGAATTTGGATCCTTAGTCCTTTCCCACCATGCCCTACCCTCCTTCCCTGCACCATTCTCCCTGGTTGTTTCTTTGTGTCACTGGTAGTCTGAAATTAGAAGCTGCTGTCTCATTTGGCTGGTAATTGTACCTCCTTTAGAGAGGAATCTCATTTTACAAAAGTTCAAGAACTGAAGAGTTTATCCTGGTTAGCAAGTTTGTTATCTTCAGTGCTCTGACTAAAGACAGCTGAAAATGAAGGTTGTATATACCTATGAGGGAAACTCTCATATATATGATGTAAACTCTCCATAGGCTTGAAAGAGGCTTGAAAGTTGGATTTACAAAGCATTTCCTGGGCACTACATAAATACACCTTTTCTTTAAAATGTAACAGGTGGGATCCAAAGATCAGACATGTTTACAGATACAGACAGAATGATGAGAGCTTTTAAGATCTCAGACATGGAGATAGAATTCTCCACAATTGGTGTTTGAATCAAATGTTTCATGTTCCAGTGTAACCTTACATTCCACATTGTCCTCATTCATTTGGGTAGAAGTATTTCTTTGAGTGACAAACCTGTAAATCCACTTAATAACTGTGAGATTCATATTGCCTTATCTTTTTCTTGCTTTATCATGTATGTCACTGTACTAGCTCACTTGGATGAGCAACCAGCTCATTTTAGGTGTGTGCATGGTAAGATCCTAAATGTACCTTTGAAGCTGTGCTTAAGCAGCAGCACTATTGAGATATGAGGGGCAACCTGGGGAACAGCAGCTGTCAAAAACATCCAAACCAAATAAGGTCAGCCAATTTTTCTTCATGACAAAGACACAGATGTTGAAATACATTCATATTTACATCAAATACTTTTCACATACTTGAATGCCTCAGCTTGCAGCACACATGATTTCTCTCACTGCCACTTTGGTACTGGCAGCCAGGCAAATCCTGACATACAAACACCACTCCTTGCCCTTTCCAACACTATGCAGCTGCTGCATTTGTTGAATTTGCTCTATGGTGTTTCTCATCCCAATGGCAATGCCTCTGATCTCTCTTTCCAGATGCAAGGCATGGCCTTAACATCCCACAGAAGTGCACACTACAGGGAAAGCAAAGGAGTGCGAGAGTTGACAGGTGAGGATTCTGGGAGAACAAGAGCATGGAGCACTCTCAGTGTTCTGCCCACTGTGACTCTTAGCACACTCCCAGCAAACCCACCTGGGGCGAACCCTGTGCCTCCCACTGAGCACAGGAAGGACAATGTTTTGTGCTACAGTGCCAGCATGCCCAAGAGGAAGCACTGTGGGATGGGCATTTCAATCCCTGCTGTATTCCTGAATGGGATGCACTGAGGCTAAGGAAATGGATGGGGTGAAATCTTGTCCTAATTATGTTAATAGGAGTATTGTAATTGTCTTCAGTGGAGCTAGGCTTTCTCTGCGTGGAACCTGACAGAAAATCCCAATACCCACTTGTGTTTCCCTATTTCAGGATGAAAATTAGGTACAGCACATATTTCACTCACTGGTGTACAGCTATCACCATGGAAACCCTGTTCAATAGAGTGTGAAAACTTTTACAGGACTTGCTGGGTTCATAAAGTGTTGAGCACCATCTTCCCCCCATTAATTTTATTACAGGTACTATCATTCAAAAATTAGGCAATCTAAGTGTGTACAAATAGCTGTAATTATACACCCAGCTGCCATGAGTGTCTCTAAAACAAATCCTGTACTGTATTTCTCAATTTAATTTCACTCTTCAAGCATACCATGATGACATAACAAGAACTTCTGTATTTTTCCAAGCATATATTAATTGTATTTTCCACTGTAACATTCTAGGAGTAGATATTGCTCCATTTTGCAAATGGGGAAACCAGAGTACACAGGAGTCACAGATCTTGTCAAAACCATGCAGCCAAGCCCTGGCAGATTCAGGAATGGAATCCGTGAGTCCTGACTCTTTAGTTCCCCTGCTCTGATCACCAGACAACACTCCCTTCCTCTGAAATAGGCTATTTTGATTGAAAACAGATGGTGTACATTTTTGGCACAGTGTTTTTTAAGTATATTAAAATGCTCTGAATGAGTATGTGCTTATATCATACCTACATCTGTATACATGTATATACATGCATACTGCATCTATGCATACAGAAATAGGTATGAGTTAAGGACATATTAATTTACATATATCATATGCAAATGTAATGGATATACTGAAAGATACTTAAGTGCAGCTGGACAGCTGACATACCTAAACACATAAGCTGTAATCTTCAGTGATATTGTAATTACACACTACATATTCTCTCTCTCTAAGCAACAGACTTTATGCTCTTGATGGAGTGTCCACTTTGATGCAATTCATGCATTAAAGTTTTTTATCATTTGATGAAAAATTTTAGTGATGTTTCTGTAAGGGATTAATTATATCAATTTTCATTAGCTACAGGACCAACCTCCATCCTAGCTGAACAATGCCTTTAGTGGGCACTGCCTGCATTTGTAGTGTTGTGAATTTTTCCTGCAACTGAGCTATGTCTTAAATATCATACTTATCTTTTGGATTTGCTCTTTCTGCCATAGTGTTTGCCCTTGAATTAAGTCTTCTCTAAACAGTTTGTTTTCAGCTAAGGACTGGCAAACCCTGGATTTGCTGTCTGTCAGGATTAAGATTTTCCCACACATCCTACCCTGGAGGAGATAACAAGGAACAGTTTTTACTTAACCAATTCCTCACCTGCAGCCTTGGGTCAGGTAAAGATGGGCTGCTGTATCAGTGGGCAAACAGCTCAGGAGACCTTTTCCATGGTTGGAAATCAGCAGAATGGGCTTGTATTGCTTGTTCTCCTGTGGATTCCCAGTAAATATGAGAAGGTGGGCTTCAAAAGCCACTCACATGGGATACATCCTAGTTACAACCCTCTTTCCAAAGTCCCTCCCCATTGACTGTATTTCCATTTCTTATATTGGTTGACTGGATTTCCCCCCTCACTTTCCACAAAAGAGGTAAAAAATTTAGCCTTCAAATCCACAGTCATGCAGGGGGAGTTGGAAACAGCTCATTCCCATGGGTACTCTTTGTCTGCATATTGGCCCCAGTCACCTCACACCTTATATGCACAGAAAGTGAGTCAAAATCAGGGGTGAGATTAGAATTTGGGAATTGTGTCATTGCAGAAAGGGGACCTGAGCAAAAACAGTTATTTTTGTCTGTGCTAATTCCTTCTGGACTGACCTGTGAGTGTATAACAGAAAAAGGAAATATTGCTGATACTCACTGCTCTTCTGTCTTTTTTGGTTCTAAATCTGCAGAACTCAGGAATCAGGAAATGCCTGCAAAAAGGTTTTGAGGAGGTCACAGAAGCAAAAGTATGCTGCAGTGCTGCTTTATCTACAGATAAACAAAATATGGCTACTTACTATAATGAAAAAAGAGCTTAATCTCTTTCAGAACTGTAGATCAAAATCCACAAAAAGTAGAACCGGTGTTTTCTGGTTTCATACTCAATGCTGTAATGCAGTACTAAAATCTCCACAATTGTATTTATAATATCAGGTAGCATCAGGTAGCAGTTGTCAATGGAGAGTACCCTACCTCAGTTCTTGACTTACACAGAATGGATTAGCATGTTTGTATTTTCCTGCCTGTTTGTTATGCTACAAAACTAATATTCTGGCACAATCCATTCTTAGTAAAGATTTTTTTAATGCTGGCTTCCTTTGTATCAAAAGGTACAGTTAACTCAGGATAGTTCTCTTGCAATTCAATACACTAAGCTATTTTGCTCTAACTTTGCAAAACTAAATATAAATTTCCAAGTAGAAAAAAGTGTTAAAAGGGAAGTCTGTTCTTGCAAACTATTATGTGGTAACCAGGCCTCTCCCATATCAATAAAAAGCTCTCCACAGTGACACTCTTGCCCTTTCTCTAGTCATTTTCTGCCAGGTAGGAATCAGAGAAATGCAAAACAGCCTTAAAAGCTCCATATCTGATCAGAAGAAACTCTCCCAGTGCAGGTCAGGCACTGACTGACAAAGATGTTGTTCCATTTCCCTTTTAATAAGCCATTCCAAAGAGGTCTGAGTTAATTTTTCAGGCTGCTGTATGGCATGAATGCCAGTGCTGCCAGGATGATGAGGCTGTTTGAAGGCAACACAGCTTGAGCTGCTCTGAAATGCTGGTTGCATGCAGTGCTGGATGCAGAAGCCTGTTTTCTTTACAGCACTTTCCCCCTTCCATGTTCTGAAGTTTTTTGATGTTCCCTTATTATCTCCTTATCGTTACCAGTCAGAATAGATATCCTATGATAAATATGGGTAGGAAACTAAGCCCCAGAAAACTCCATGATTATCCTAAGACTACTTGGTGAACTGGCTGGAGATGGGAAGACTGCCCAGTTCTCTCAGTAATCCACCCTTGGCCCCAGTTCAGCAGAGCACTTAGGTACTTGTTTAACTTAAGCAAGATACAGTGCTTCAACTGTGAATCATAGACCTTTTTATTATTATCACTTTTACTGCAGGGTGAGGGAATTAAGTCTTAGGAAAGGCCTTGAAGCAAACTGGAGCAATAAATTGAATATCCTGCAGCTCAGCGCCCCGGGTCTGTCAGTGTCCATGACCAGAGGGAGGATGAGGTTCAGACCTGGGCCCAGCTCATTTTCTCCTCCTGCAGGAGACAGCAGTGAGATTAGTGACTGTAGGATTGCTGCTGTGTAGAGCTGTGCTAGCCATAGCTGGAAGCTCATTACACATCCACTCACCACTTCCCTCATTCTTCAGTCAAGGAAGAAAATCTTCACTCTGCTGAAAAAGCCAAAAGAACGGCTGCTAACTGCTGATATCTTTTTTTAAGAACACACAATTATGGCTATCGCTCTTCATTGCAAAATTACAAATCTTTATATCATCTTCAAAAATCTTTTTTCATTGCAAATTTCCATTGGAAAATTGGAAACCAAATTTTCATGGCCTCCAAAATTAAATCCTGTGTTTCAGGAGGAAGCCAAGAAAGTGATGGCAACAAATGCTGGACTCCAGGTGATAAATGTAGCTGGACCTTGCTTCCTCCTGATGCACCACACATGGAAATTGTTGGTATTCTGAGCAAACTGGGGAAGAAATGGCTTTGAGATATACCTGTATTATGATTCATGTGTCTATGACATTACTTGACTGAAGCTTTAGAAACATTCCATTTCATGTAATGACTTTAATTCACCTACAGTGTGTTTTGGCATAGTTTGGGATGTTAAGGGGAAGCAGCAACATCTCTGTGGTTAAGGCTGAAGCTAGCTTCTGTTATAGCACCCTGTTTCCATCCCTTCATCATAACTTTGGCTTGGAAAGCTGCTTGAGTCTGAGACTTGCCAGGTCTATTTTAGTCACTTTTGCAAAAACTGAGGAAAACCAGCCAAATTACTTGCAAGTTATGAGTTGCTAAAACTTACTCTGATTGGAAATATTTACTTTTAATTAATACTTTTAGTCCTTGTCTTCACTTTGATTGATTGATTGAGTTGAATTAATCCATAGCAATATTCCAGCCTTAAGAAAAATTCATAGTCACAAAAACTTGTCCCCTGAATGACTGTTGCTGTAGAGCAAGGTCCTTTTCCTGATCTGTGTATGCCCTACCAGGAGAGGTTATTGTCCATGACACAACCTCTGGTGCTTGTCTTTGCCCATATGCTGGAGGCTCCCTCTCCTTCTGGTGTCTAGGGAAGCCTAAGCAAGGCCCAGCCTACTTCAGCCAAGGTGAGCTGGGTTACTTGAAACAGTGACAAAGTGATGCATGGCTAACCTCGCCCTCCTACATTGATGCAGGTAGGGAGCACTCCTGCCAGCAGATCTGCTCTCACCTCTCTCAGGGAGGTTCCATTCACTGAGGGAGCACTATCAAAAAAACAAAGCTGTACCACTGGCCAGCACCTCCTCCCACGAGGACAATTATTCCCAGTGCTATCCACACATGAGGATCTGAGCCAGTGTTATGTTCACACTTCTTGATTAAACTAGTACAAATATTTGCCTTTACCTCAAAAACCACTTGTAATCACACTTCTAACCTTTCCATATAATTAAATATCTTAATTTGTGCAGTGACAGTTTACAAAGAAAAACGGTTGACATCGTGCAAAGATATAAACCACTCTTATTTTTCATAAAACTAAGTCAAAGCAGTTTTGTTTGTTTCAGAAGGAATTATGAGTTCACTTATGCTCTTGCTGAGATCAAGGAGGCTTTTTTTGGCATTGGCTTGAGTGGGATCATTACTGAACACTACGTAACATTTTAAACTGCTTAGATTAGATGTTAAGAAGAAATTCTTCACTATGAAAGTGGTGAGACACTGGCACAGGTTTCACAGAGCTGCGGATGCCTCATCCCTGGAAGTGTTCAAGATCAGATGGACGGGGCTTTGAACAATGTGGTGGAAGGTGTCCCTGCCCATGGCAGAAGGGTTGGAACTGGATGATCTTTCAGGCCCCTTCCACCCCAACTGTTCCATGGTTCCATGATTTCAAGATTTTCTTCTCTTTGGGAGGTAACCTGAAGTTTCCTGCTGAGTGGCAAGAGGCAACAACAAATGTTTTCCACAAGTGTCTCAAATTTTACAGAGCACTTCATTTTTTCTGTTAGTCTTCACTGCAGAAGGAATCAATCTGCAAAATATAGTACTCGCAAACAGAAGTGCTGGTTTCTAGTCATTGCTACCTGTGCTACTGCCATCACTTACTTAAAATGTGATGACTGATTGCAAATTTAATCCATGAAGGGAGAGGTGGGGCTTGCTACCTCTCCTACAAAATAAAATTCAGCAAACAAACTCAAAATGCTAACTGTTGATAAGCCACAATATTGTGATTTCAATCTGCAGACCATGATGAAAGTGTCTCTTTACATTAAATGTCCCGCCTCTGATTAAAAAATAATTGTCTGAATTGCATCTGTTGTCATTGTCTGTGTCTATTCTCCCAATGAAATATGTATTTTAAACCTATGACACTATTTTTGCAATTCTTAAGTTAAAAATAAGCAATATAAAACATGTTTAAATATAGCAATATTCTTTCATTAAGATTCAAATAAAACAAAACAGCACTTTAAACAACAACTGAATTTGTCAGACCTCTAATCTGAAAATTTCACAACCTTGGGGAAATTAAGATCAGTGTGTGATCTCTTGCACTCTCTTTGTAATGAGCTAGGCAGTCTGAGCCTTTCTCTGACATAAAGTTAATCCAGCTCCATCTGGGTTCACATACCAAATTAGGCTCTTTCTGGTCCTGTCTTCATCTAAGTATTTTCATCTAAGAATTTGCTGGGTTTTACAGTATTTTCCCCCATCCCTCTTCACAAGCTTCTCTCTTTCTTGCCAAACTCTCTGCCCTTAACTTCTCCTTTCTAAATCACTCTTCCTTCCCATATGATTTCCAAATTAGTCATTGTGTTCCCTCCCTCTTTCATCTATCCCATTCTTCCTCACTTCATCCTGTTTCCTCACCCAATCAAAGATCTCTTAGTCACGAGTTTCCTCATTCCTCATCCCTTCCATCAATGTTACTTACATGACAGTAGCAGCTCTTTTTTAAAAATCACTTTCACAAGAGATCCTCACTGAATTAATCTCTAAATACACCCTTTTAATAAAAAAAAAGTCCATAATACATCACTGAGTGTTCACCAGCAGAAGAGGTACTCGTTCTGTACCTTTCAGTGTCCACTCAATGGACATTGAAAGCCTTTATTATGATCAATAGAAACTGTGAGCCACTGCAAATACAGTAGGTTTAGAAGGAGCTCTTGTGCTGAGTTATTGATGATGTAAGTTGAGCAACACTAGCATTGTATAAGCATCAGACAGATAATGTAAATGCATCCACTTTCCTTTTGAATCAATGGGTTATCTGTACTTTGTGTGGTAGTGCCAGAAATTTGCATCCACCCAGTTTCACAAGTAAATCTGTGGTCTTCCTCAGAACTCTTCAGTTTAAGAAGCCACTTGACCTGACAAAGAGTTGTATGTCATTAAATATCCTCATTTAAGGAAATCAATTATCTTGAGAATTCAACTTTTGAAAATGGCATAACACAGGTAACAGATCTGGATACAGTGGAATAAAACATCAGCAAAGATAGAGAAATCCACAGGAAATAACCTGATTATGGAAGGACTGGAGGCTTGAAAAGTTGCAGACAATTACAAACTACAAAAACAAGAGAGAAAATAAAATAACAGTCTTAGATTTATGTTACTGAAGAAAGGAAAATAAAAAAATAATCTCAGACTGCAGCAGCCCTAAGAGCTTTGGCAGCCTTGGCCCTACTTTCACAGGAAGAAAACAACATATTGAGAGATGAAACAGCATTGTTGGAGTGAAAACACAGGGTCCTATTTGGAGGTCAGAATGAGACGTGACTTTGGTCAGTTCCTAGTCTGCATCATAAAAGCAGGATTCAAATTATAGCAATTTCACACAGTTATAAATGTAATTCCATTACTTTTCCTACTGTTCTTTAATCAGAGGCTACCTTGTTTCTGATCAGATCACAGCACCCCCAGACACTTTAGCAGTGTCGAGCCTGTTTCATTCTTCACAGAAAATTGTATGCTGGTGGTGACCACATTCTCATTAGCTTTAAATGAAGACTAAAACCAGGGGGATGAGGCCAGTACAGATCCAGTGTAGTGAGATCAGCATGATGCAATTTCCCTCTGAGGTAAAATTATTCCATTCAGCTATTCACATTAAGACTATAAATAAGACTCCAAAGACCAATAAAAGAAGCATGAGGAAAGAGAAAGATAATTCTATATTTACAATGCCTATATAAACATACACATTTATGATCATTGTTTTTGGATTAAGTAAATATTAAGCATCAATTTTGCCAGGTACCTTTTAGTGCTTGCAGTTGGACTTTCCTGTAGACCTCACAGGAGAAATAGGTCTTGGCAAGACAGTTAGGGAGGGAAAGAGTAGTAGATTTACAATTCTTTAAAAACATTAAAGAGTGTTACTAAATGCATTTTTACAGGTACTGAGACTAATTATCCTGCAACAGCCATCAGTTTCAATGAAGAGATCTCTCTGTTCACTAGGATTAAGTTTGCTCCAGCAGCAAGATTTATGTGAAACTACAGTGTAACAGATTATAGAACAAGTGTTGCTCAATTCACACATGCTGGT